AAGTTGTACATATTTGTTAACAAGTATATAACTAGTATATATAACTAGCATCTCAGTATGTCTTTCTTCTATCATAAAGCTATTCTTTCATTCACATATGGAAGGAGGCTTAAAACTAACATTAGTAACTCTGTGTTTACAAGAAAAAGGTGTGCACTAAATTAATGCTGGCACTAAATACCACATGATATGTTATTTCTGATAGGTGTTTATTCACAAAGCTCCCATAACATCAAAATTTAATGTGCAACCCTGAATTCTTTCTCTCCTGTGTATGCAGGATTTGATAGGCACACACCAGTGAAGTGCTTTGTTTGTGTGCAAGCAACTCTTTTATATAGACATACAACTCGAAGGTGACATTTACACTGTTCAGCATACTCAAAGCCAGTGCATTAAGTAAGGACAATTCATACCAACTTCTACTTTGAGTGGCTCAAAGGAACTATATGATGAAGCAGGAGAGTGGTAGCAGATAAATAACAAGCATCATGGGCATGGGGGCCCAAGTGATGTTTCCTCGATCCTGCAAGCGAGGGGAAATGAGGAGAAGAGCACTAATAGGACAAGTCAATAACTGGCTGCAGAACTGGTGTTGGTGACAAGGTTTTGAGTTGTATGACCATGAGACCCTGCTTGCAGATCACTGTCTGCTTGAGAGAGATGAGATCCACCTCACTAGGCGGGGCAAAGCTATTTTTGCCAGTAGGATGGCTGACCGCATAAGGAGGGCTTTAAATTAAGAATGGAGAGGGAGAGAGTAACGAGCAGCCCTGTGAGGGAGTGATGGACATGGTCAAAGAGCAAAGGGCATGGGGTGATGTGACAGGAATAGAACACAGAATCAACAAGATGGGGCTTAAGTGGGGTCACCTCCAGCACTTGCATGTAAGCAAGGAAATGCCTACAAGGCACGATGATGGAGAAATCCCCCAATCCCTTTCTAGGCAGTCAACGTGCTAGGGTGCCTCTCTGAAGTGCCTGTATACTAATGCATGCAGTGTGGGGAATAAACATGATGGGGTTGTCTGTGTGCAGTTGCAGGGCTATGATCTTGTTGGGATCACAGAGACGTGGTGGGATGGCACCCATGACAGGAGCGTCACAATGAAGGGAAACTGGCTCTTTAGGAAGGACAGGCTAGGGCAACAAGGAGGGGAAGTTGCCCTTTATGTGAAAGGGCAGTTGGAGTGCATCAAGCTCTGCTTGGGGATGGATGAGGAACCGAATGAGAGTTTATGGGGAAGGATTAAAGAGAGGACAGGTAAAGGTGACATTATAGTGGGTGTCTGCTATAGGCCACAGAATCACGGAATCATAGAATCATTAAGGTTGGAAAAGACCTCTAAGATCATCAAGTCCAACCGTCAACCCAACACCACCATGTCCACTAAACCATGTCCCTAAGCACCTCATCTACACGTCTTTTAAATACTTCCAGGGATGGGGACTCAACC